AACAGTTGACTGTTGACCGGACTTCATGCACATGTGGCATCCTATTGCGGTACCACCCTGGAATTCCACAAATGTTTTTGGAAGCAATCAGCATGCCTAGGTGCTTGATTTGATACACCTGTGATTGTGGAAATGAGTGGAACACCTGAATTCAGTAATTTAGATGGGTGAGTGATAACTTTTGACCATAAAAGTCAAAAGCTTGCGTTTTTTATAGAAGCCATTAGAAAAAGAAGCTATGCAGGACCCCAGCCCTCAAATACTATAACCTCTGTCTTTGTTCAAAGGGTTTTTTTGTCTTTTGACTTGGATGTTACCCAGTATTGCTATACTGGCAGCAGTCAAGAGGGTTCAGGACAACTGTCACGACCTTTAACAAAGTTTCTATCCCATTATTACTGGGATCAGACCCATTTTCTATATTGGGTTTCATATGTCTTAGTGTTAGCCACCGAGGAGAGCTTGCTCCTGCCTTTTAAGCACAAAGAAATAACCTTCAGAAACTAATTTAGGCTTCTCTGAAAATCTACGCTCATTTCCCTTAAAATTGAACAATAAAGCAGCTGCTTCCTGCTTTCCATTTCTTTTTTGACTGCTATTATTTCTAAATTTGTTCTAAAGGACTTTCTTTTTCAGCACCTCCATTTTATTCAAATTACAATGTCTCCAACTAAATCAGTTTTGCTTACTAATATTTCATCCTCACCCCTGTGTCTCCTTTGCCTCACCCTGGAGTTGGGCCGTTAAATTGAATCTAAGAAAATCTTTGTTGTTAATATGTGACAATGTTAATGCTGTTTCCAGGTGTTAATACTCATAATCTTCCACTTCTTCACTTCAGAGGCTTTTTCTTCCATTTTATTTTGGATTCAGATACAGATGAGAGAGGGAAATAATGATAAAAAAAAACACTCTGGAAAATAAGAAAGGCAAAAATGTGTCAAGTACACACTCATGCGGACTACAAACCCTTGTCAGCCATTATTGTTCACTACAGTGCATAGAAATATATGGTCTTTGTTTTCTGACGTGGTTTTCTTTCCAAGATAAGATGTGTTTTCCACCAGAGTTATCTTTGACTTTCTGCTGAGGGCTTTATCCCCAACCCAGATTTCAAGGCAATATGATTATTTTTCCTCAAGACTGCAGACACATTAGAAATGCGAGTTTTGCAGTTTAAAAAATATTTCTGTTGAGCCCTAAAGGCTTTATTGGTATCAAGTCACTTTTGGCTTACTCTTGATGGACTTCTGACTAACAGCCATGAGACCAACCATCACAGATAATAGTGGTGCACTGGCACTAGTGCATTTTCAACCCTTTGTGTTTTTCCAATGCAAAATGGATGGATAAGCAGAATGCTTAGTTTCCACTTACAACTCCCACATTAGGGTGACTTGTCTAATTAGAAGACAACAAAAATACAACTACAACCATTCCCTTACAACACACTGCTTTTGTTTGTGCTGTTAACAAAGCTCTAAAACAAACTGCATCCAAAAGCATGCAAATTAGTCTTGTTCTGCCTCCCCCCTTTCTCTTTATCCAACAAACACAAAACAGCATTTAGGCATGTTATCAGAAATGAATTCCACTTTTTTTAAACACAGATGTCGAGTGTACATTATGACAGCTGAAGGGACCGTGCTGATTGGTTACAGTGCACTTGTCTGGTTCAGCAATGTAAAAGCAAGCTCTGGGGAGGGGGAATATCAAATATGACACTAAAGTAGGAGACAACAAGCTTATATATGTGTGTGAAAAAGAGAAAGAAACACCCACATAGCACCGGTGTGCTCATCACTCAGAAAAGTCCCTCTTCTGTGACTCTGGAAATGGAGTATAATTTAACTTGGGGGCCATTTCATTGTTCCCTTTAAGCTTCTTAGCTTTAAAATATTCATATTTCAGACGAGGGAGGAAGAAATCTGTGACGGCAGCAGACGGAGGCAAGAGGGAGAAGAAAGAGGATAGCGAGCAAGATAGGTAGGGGGAGAGAGAGAGAGAGAGAGAGAGAGAGAAACTGATGGTGTGAGGAAAAAGAACAATGAAATGAAAGAGAAACTTGGAGGAGGGGTGTGAGGAGATGGATAGGGAGAACAGAAAGCAGCACTTTAACTGATGTTCTCTTATAAACAACTTTCTCTCTGTCTGTCTTTTATTTTCTCTCTGAAACACTTCATGGTAGACCTGTCCAACAAAAGACAAAGCCATTTCGCTGTCATCTTCCCCGCCACTGGTTTCCGTGAAGAAAAGAGGCGAGAGCAGACAGACTGTGTAGGAAAAGACAATCATAATTATAATCTGGATGTCACAGAAAGCAATTATTTACAGATATCCTGTCACACTTGTGCTGACAATTGCCAGGAAAGCCAAATGCATGATTTTGTTAGATAGGGTAATGTAAAGACAATTCAGTGTTTATAGTAGAAAATTGTAATGGTAAGCTGTACTGAGACAGAAGGATACTTCTGTTCCCAAGACGATATAACCACACAGTAACTTTAGCTATACTATATACAATAAATACAGTAGAAGTCAAAATGAATGGTTGAAATTTTGACTATGACTGTGCAGTTTACCCATATGGGAGAAAGACCCTTGCGCAATACCAATGCCAAGTGGCTGGTGGATTTCAGCCTACAGCAGCTTCCCAGAACAAGAATCAGTCAACATCACGATGCACACATCCAACCATTGGTCTCAGACACAAAGAGCTGGATAAAATCAAAATCTGGCCCAATCCACTCAAACTTTCTGAATAAGGTAACAAAATACTTCTATTGATCAATCTGTAACATACTTCTTTGCAACCCAGATGCTCCTTGCAAGCAACATAGCGTCTGTGCTGAGTAGACACACAAATCTACAAACAAGCATGGGTCAAAACAGCATTTTAAACAACATCAAAAGGTCAAAGAACAAGATACAGATTGGCTGGACTGACTACAACAAAGCTTCTTGTCCCAGATCCATAGATGCAAGAGTCTACCATAGATAGGATCCACGTTTCAGGTTTTCAAGAGATGTCGGAGCCGCTCACCTAATATCAGGGTTTAGGATGCACATGCATGTGGCTGAAATACCATACAGGAACATATGTGCCAAAAATGGCTTAAAAGTCCCCAAGACTCAAAAGTGTTTGAAAATGGCTGAGCTAACTTCTTGTGGGACTTCAGGTTCGAAAGTAATAAGCAGGTGCAGTGCTGGCTTAGCAACCATACACAGCTTGACAATAAGAATAAGAGAGAAATTATGATAGATGTAGCAGTTCCAGGTGACAGCAACATAAGAGTGAGACCAGGCAATACTAGGAGGTGAAGGATGAACTGGAACAGATGTGAATGGTGAATTCTAAACCAACAGGTTTAAACCCAGAGCTCTCTTGTCGTGAGGTGATAGTTCTAGCCATTGCTGCACTGTGCTTTCCAAAAAACAAACAAAGAGAAACACTTCAGGACAAGGTAACTAGTGTTTATTTAATCAGGACTTCTTTGTTAGAAATGAGGCAAATGTAGTTTACTGTGGTTTTTTTTTTCTTTCACTTGCACCACTGTATACAGCAATTTAGTCTTCCATAATTTTGTTTGGTAATTATTAATTGTTTTGCTTGTCACTGTGCATGCATGGTGCACGAGATTGACTTCCATGTGATGTTGACTCCTCTGTGTGAGTACATCTTAGTCTTGGCACTCAAAAACAGCAAACAGTAATTGATTAGAGCCTTAGCCTAAGTGATCCAGCTGGAGGACAGTTATGCAAGAGCTGAGTCGGTTGAAAACAGACTATACGTGCAGTGTTGCCTTAGTGAGCCACCAAATCTTAAAATAATACAAAAGAAATCTTATTAAAACGTACTGTAGACGCTAGGTCCACAAGCTGATTATTCATCATGAAAACTCGGCACATTAATTCATTTTTACCTGCATCTTATGTGCTTTTTAGTTGCCCGTATATGTGTAACAGCAAGGCTTTCTCTCATCACAAAATAGAGCACTTGTAATAAGCGGATAGTGTTTTGTTTGTTTCTTTTGTTAGAGGATAGTGAGAAATAAAGGAGTCACTTGAGGTTATCAAAAGAGCTTTAATCTTCCATCCCCATCACCAAAAGAAAAATATGGTATAGAGCTGTGCACATATTGGATAATGTAAGTGAGCGAATGAGCAACGATAACAAGAGGAGCGTAGATAGTAAACATGAAGACAGAGACAGAGATGGAGTCAGCAGGCGCAGAGATGTAACACGAGGAGAAGAACAGCAGCGAGCGGTGATGTATGTGGGCCGTACAGTTATCCAAGCGGGCTGGGCTGTTACTCCTGCTCCTGTTTCTGCTGTTGCTGTTTTAAAAGAAAAAACCCAAAGCTGAATTGATATGCTAATTTGATTGAGAAGGTGTGGGTGGATATGGAGAAGGCTTTAAGCAGCGAGGGGGACAGAAAGAGAAAATGACAACGAAAAGAGAAGGGAAAAAAGGGAGAGTGGGAGTAGCAGATGTGATGGAGAGAGAGAGAAAAGATTGAACTGGAAAGAAAAAATGGGAAAGAGTGGGAGGAGAGGCAGGTTCAGCGTCGCGTTGCACTTCGGGGTAACAGAGTTTACAGTCAGTCACTGAACAGCTGTCAGTCAGCTGCGCATTAACTGCAGCTGATACAGGGTGGCAAAGCCATTTCTGCCAGCACTTGTTTGTTAAACAAAAGGAAACTACATAACTGAAAAAATAAGAATAGTATACACTATTATTTGAATGATGTCTTTCACATATTTTTGTTAATGATAAAATACTTAATTACAATACTAATAGAGCTAGCAAATTATTGGTTAATAGGATAAGTAAACAAGGCTGCTGATGGAAACTTTCATGTTATAAATCAATTTCAACTAAGAAACAAAGTCCCTAACACTGTTACAAAGACATAAAATATAATGTAAAAAATAAAATACTAATATTTATTGATTATAAGTATAATATATGTTTACTTTTTTCTTCACCGATTCTTAGATACAACCAGGATCAGATGGTGCAATAAGGACAGTTGTCATTCAGGAAAGGAGGCTTCATGTTGGAGTCCACAACGGCTGGTGCTTCCTTGAGAAGCCACAAGTGGTAGTACTGGAGGCCTTTCCCTCAGGAGTCAGAGGACGAGCAGGCAGCCCTTCCAAACAGAGCGCTCTGAGTAAGGACAGGTGAGCAGGAGGAACTCTTTATGTCTACAGTAAAGCTTTAATTCTACACCATAAAAGAGCAGAGATGAGCAAAAACCTTTCCAGGAGTGATAATGTTTATGGTATTTCCTCAGCCTCTCCAGATGCCTTTCCTTTTGCTGATGGGCAAGTGATTCGAAGTTTATCTTGCCATGTCAGCACAAGCTGTATTTTTGAAAAAGCTTGGCTGGTATGAATATTATTTGTCTGTATTACTGGTTCAGAGATGCCTAGAAAAAGTTCAATATGCAGACTTTCTTCCTTCCTGGTGTTTCATAAGGTATGCAGTATATATAATGTATTTGGTGTGTGTTAATGTTATTATACAATACAATACATGCATTATATAATGCATGTATTATATAAATAAAATTACGCTGTATTGAATTGAATGCACTGATAAGCACAGCAACATCACAAGGCCTCGATGCCCAATGGAAGATGACAGTGGTGGCTGATTGCAGGATCTTCTGTAGCAAAGAAAAAACCCTTCAGTACAGCCAGCCAAGAGAAGAATCAACACACATTAAGAGGTCGGTGTGCAAATGAGGACAGATTTATTAGCCCCTCTATTAAAATTTCATTTTTTAAAAAGTATTTCCAAAGTGCTTTTAAACAGAGCAAGGAATTTTTAACCCAGCCTTTCTAAACAACCTTGTTTGAATTTGGATGCTTAGATTCTTTTACTTTGCACACAGAAATAAAATAGATGGTCTTCCAGATCTTGGTCTTAAACTAATCCCACAGATTTTCTGTGGTATTCAAGTCAGGTTTTGTGCAGGCCAGTCAGTAACATTCACTTTGATTTTCTGCGGGTAGTTCTTCACCAGGAGCAACGCATGTTCTGAGTTGTGCAGGAAGAAAAAGTGACTGCCAAACCCAGTTTTGCTGTTGACTGCATGAGGTATCTTCCACCTTGATGAGATCTGAAATTCCAGACTGAAGCATCCCCACAGCATAATACCCCCACCACTGTGTTTCAATGTGGGGGTGGCGTTCTTTGGGTTGTACGCCTCTCACGCATTTCTCGAAACATAAGCAGCACCTCTGTGGCCAAAGTGCTCTAGTTTAGTCTCGTCTCACCAAAGGGTGTACCTCCAGTATGCATAATCGTTCTGAGGTTGGCGTGCTAAAGTCTGGCTTGAAGGTGTCTCTTCTGCAGAAGTTTTTCTTGGTCTACAACCTCACAGTCCATTCCTGTGCAGGGTTCTAGTGATCGTCTTCTTTGAGAGGACAATCTCGACTTGGGAAAGTCATTCACGCATCTCTGCAGTTGTTCTGGGGTCTGTAGAAACATCTCTGACTAGTTTTCTTTCCAGAGTCTTTGAAATCTTTCCCTTTCTATCTCTGCCAGGCTTGTTCTGAGCTGTGTGGCTCTCTTTGAATTTCTTGATGTTAGTTCTCACTCCAGTTCTTGACACTTTGTGAACATCAGCAATTCTTTTCCTTAAGTCTAAAGTGATTTCTTTAGTTTTTGAAATGATGCTTGTGACGGCTCAAACCCTCAATGAAGTTTTTATACTGTGTTTAAATTGGAATATAACCCTCAGTTTTAACTTGATTTTACAAGTTCCGAGTATTGCATAGTTGGTGGTATGACTCAATAAAAAAAGAATACTTTTTCAGGGAGCTAAGAATATTTACCCTGGTAGTTTTTGTTTTTTCTGTAGTGAAAATCCCTATCTGTGTTAAAAAGCATTTGAGAGGTTTTTGACAAAAAATTTAAATTTCAAGGGGGGAATTATCCTTATCTGTATATAATCCAAGAGCTAAATACAGTAAACAGAAGAAGAGAAGGGAAAATAAAAACTGTCCTATCCAGAGCTGTATTTTCTGCTAAGCTTCACTCAAATGCATCAGTGTTCACTGCAAGACACTTCGTTTTACAGATGGACAACTCAAAACATACTCCGAATGGCTGTAATTCCACAGTTGTTAATCCATTACTTTGTGAAATCTTTGCTGAAAGTCAGCACTTCAGCTGCATTTTGATCTTGGTTTTCCAAATGTATTGCAGTGCCAAACTGAGCCACAAATGATGAAAATTATATCCTTTCCAAAAATATCTGTACCGAACTGTAATGTCACACTCCTGCTTGCCTGCTTGCTGGATAAACAAGAACTTTTAACACTGTGAAAAAAAGAAGTGCACATTAAATCAACACAATAGTCATAATGTGGAATGGTCATGTCTCGATGTACATTATGTTGAAAACTTTCTGTGTGGCTTTGTAAAATATTTGCTGACCTTGCCCATAAAAAATTCTCTTTTTCATAAGGGCTCCCATTTGCTAACCCAAGCTTAGACCCATAATTTACACACCGTACCAAAGCATACAAGATTCATACCTCATAAAACAGTCACGAAGTACATTCAAATGTACTACATTCGGTGTTAAAGTGGTTAAGCCAGTGTAAGGTCATGAGCACCTGGCTTAAATCATGAAAATAAAACGGAAGAGAGAGAACTCCCAAGTGAATTTCACCACTACAATACAGATAAATTGCAATCAAAATCATATTATCCAGACACTCCTATCTACAATAGGAGTGTCAAACATAACGCCCAGAGACAAGAACTGGCCTGGTAAAGAATCCAAATCAGCTCACTGGACAATTCTGTAGATTTCTGTAAATTAACGAAAACTTTATATTTTGAACTACCAGAACTTTTTCTCCAGTTTTAGTTTTACTGGCCTGTATGTGGCCCACGATGTAAAATTGAATCCTTGATCTACAATGTCCAGTCCTTAGAACCGCTATTCACAATTGGTGAAATTGAATAAAAACCAAAAAAAAAATTAATAATAAAGATATTTTCTCCTCCTTGAATCGCTACCTTATCGTGGTGGAGGGGTTTGTGTGTCCCAGGGATCCCAGGGGCTATGTTGTCTGGGGGCTTTTGCCCCCTGGTAGGGTCTCCCATGACAAACTGGTCCTGGGTGAGGGACCAGACAAAGAGCGATTCAGAAGACCCCCATG